GATGGCACCTGAAACATACAACAGGCCGTCTAGGAGTCTGAGAAGAGTCGGGTAGTCCTGAAACAGGCCTTTGTTGTGCTGGACGTGGTCTGTTATTATAGCGAGGCTGACGAGTCTGTGTGGCCATATTATCAATTTTATCAGACAACTTTGCAATAAGCTCCAACAGCCTGTCATCCTGAGAAACTGAGTGTGCTGGCAAACTGACCGGTTCATCTTTCGGGGAGCTCGTTGAAGCAACACGAGTAGAGGTTAGAATACATTCAATTTGTAATGTTGCTGTGACAGCCTCAGACAAAGATTTCGGATTCTTCTGTTTTACTGCGAGGACCACTTGTGGGTCTGTAATAGAATTAAATAACTGAGTGAGGGCAAGCTGCTCGTGTGCTGCCGCACTGAGATCTGGGTAGGCCTTCTCTACCAACCCCCGTAGCTCATCAGCATACTCCACCCAAGTCTCTGTTAGCCTCTTAGTGCGAGTGGAGAAATCAGCAAGATATAATTCTCTTTTCCCCTTTGGCTCAAAATGCGCCTCTAATGCCAAAACTGCATCATCAAATGATGCTTTATCGGTGTCAGAGAGTCGGTGGAAGACCGTTTGAGCTCTGCCAGTCAACCTCACCCTGAGAAACTTCAATTTATTGGCCGCGTCCCACGAGTTCACATCCGCGCAGTCGTTGAAATGTAACAGCCACTGTTCCCAGTTGGTCTCTCCCGAGTATGCATCTGGCAGTATGATAGGCTTAGCAGCCATGGTATTCAGAGTTGGTTGCCTGAGAGTGAGAATTAAAAAAAAAGGAAAGAAAACAGAATTTAAAATGGCGGCTAACCACGTTTCGTGGCCGGAAACAAAGAATTGTTATCCGGCTAGAAGGCTTAGAGAAAGAGACTTGGCTGATCCTGCCCACTGCGCCAATTGTAATGCCGCCTGGACCGGCTTTATTATACCAACCAAATAACAATAATAGTGAAAGAGAGAGACTGAGAGAGAGAAGTATACAGAGGTCACACACCATAGAGAAAACTATTAATCAGTCTGACCACAAGGGCCCTAGTTAATACATTATACTAGTTAACAGTTATTAATATTTATTACAGAAATATGGCCTGAGACCCTGTAAAAACAAGTACATGAACATCTATCTTTGTTAAAATTATTAATGTTAATTATCTATTAACATTAATAATTTGCACAGTTAGACTAAATGCTAAAATGCTAATTTTGTCCAAGACTA